TTTAAAAAAAAAGAAAAGAAAAAAAAAAAAAATATATATATATATATCATATCATAAAATGAAATATCTGATGTATATTAATACTGTGAAGCTATATTAAATTGAGATCTTCTTCAGCACCTTTAGAATCTTTACTGTTTTATTTAAATGATTGTTAGTCATTTTCAAAATGACCATATTATAATGACAGTATATTGATTGAACAAAAATATTTTATTTTATTTATAAAAGTAAAGAGAAAATAGTACAAACTTTGCTAAAGTGATTGTTTTCAGCATGTATTATACAAAACATAATACATTAGCTGAAGTATTTGTATAAATTTTATCTCTTGTGTGGTGTAAAAGGCCCACCTTGCCACCTCATACATTTGTAATATTTTTAAGTGAAACAAACCCCATTTATGGTTTATTTTCACACAAAATCTGTTGCTCCATCAATGTTCAATAAAAAAATAAAAATCTACAATTATGCATCTATGGGAGTAGTGAAAAGCACCTTTTTCTTAAAGGGTTAGTTCACCCAAAAATTCTGTCATTAATTACTCACCCTCATGTCGTTCCAAACCCGTAAGACCTTCGTTCATATTCAGAACACTAAGATATTTTTGATGAAATCCGAGAGCTTTCCGACCCTCTATAGACAGCAAGGGAACTGACACGTTCAATGCTCAGAAAGGTAGTAAGGACGTAGTTAAAATAGTCCATGTGACATCAGTGGTTCAACCGTAATTTAAGCTACGAGAATACTTTTTATGTGCAAAGAAAACTATTTTAATGATGTCCTAACTACATTTCTGGGCCTTGAACGTGGTAGTTGCGTTGCTGTCTATGCAGGGTCAGAAAGCTCTCAAATTAAGGTGTGCCTTTAGCCCCGTTGTACCCTTTGTATTTTAAACATATTATTTAGGTAAAATAAGCAACACATACAATTGAGGTCAAATGTTATAATATATTAAATACATAAAATGATACTATCTAAGCCTCTGATTATGTACCTCCAGACTGACACAGCCGCACATGCAGCTGAGGCAGGAGTATGACAGCCTGCAACTGCAGACCAAAGAACTGAAAACCTCTCTGAATGAGTCCCAGCTGGAACTGAATCGCTGGCAGGCGCGTTACGACCAACTGAAAGAGCAGCATCAGGGCCTGGACATCTCAATGACCAAACTGGACAACCACTGTGAGGTGAGAGAGACCTTATAAACTAGATACACAATCTGCTTCTTCGGAAGAACCCAAGACTATTATGCCTGTGATGTATTATACCATCACAGACGAGACTAGATATTGATCCCAGGCCTTGAAATTGATTATTTTTAGCAGCTAGTGCTAAGATATCTTTCTTTCTCTTAATTTAGCTGCTAAACCGTTTGAAAGGAAACTTGGAAGAGGAAAACCATCATCTTCTCAGTCAGATCCAGATGCTCAGCCAACAAAATCAGACCCTGTTGGAGAGAACCATGGAGAGCAAAGAACTTTACCATGAAGAACAGAAACAATACATGTGAGCAGTGTGTCATCATATCATTTTTAATCAATGATTTCTAACCCCGGTACTAGGTATATGATCCTAGTAAAATGTATGATCTTGCTTTGTTGAAGCTATAAAACAGAAATTACAAATGAAAATATTAGTTGATTAAAATAGCTCTTTGTGATGAAAGTCATACTTTTGAGATTTCAGTTTAATTTTGGGTCTATTTTCTAAATGCATGTAAGTATTACATGTGCAGGTATGTTTGTTTATTTTATTTTTCCTACATTTTTGACCATATACTTTTTTACTTTTTTTTTTTTTGACCTCATACTGTTTCATCAATGTCATAACTGGACCGTTCTTACGATTGGCACAATCATATCTGCCTTCATCCAGTCAACAACTGCTACATAGAAACAAGTCCCCAGCCTATTCGATTGTCTGTTTCACTCAGATATATATCATAGAATGGGGAAAAAAAAATCTGTGGTTAATTCTGTCTCAAAACTACTTCAAATTAATATATTTATTATCTGGAGTACTTGATTGAGGTGTGGGGGTATCTAAGAAAACCTGTCGGGAAACTAATCAAGAAACTTGTGGTCAAAATGCCCTAATGCCATGCTTTTAATTTGTATGGTTTTCTTTTACAGTGATAAGCTGAATTCTTTACGGCGACAGAAGGAGAAATTAGAGGAGAAGATCATGGACCAGTATAAGTTCTACGACCCGACTCCTAAAAAGTGAGTCCATCTGTGGAATCTAAACTGATCAAGACTGAATAGACTGTACTTCTAGGCCTATTTGTCAAGTTTAACTTTTTTACTATGAACTTTTAATTCAAAGAGAATATTTTGTGAAATTTTTTTCTCTAACACAGGAGCCGGCATTGGGCTGGAGCCAAAGCAATAGCGAAATTCATCAAACCTAAGAAAGATAGTCAACGAGAACGAACTGACGCTCCACGCGAGAGAATCCGAAGCGCTCCAGACATCCCTCTGCCGGAGATCCCCACATGTATGGACTGTCCCGAGAGCGCAACACCCCTTCCCCCTCCACCGCTGCCCCCCAGACAGTCACGTCTCAGTCTGGACTCCATGAACAATCACTCTGCAGAGGAGAATCATGTACAGTCCCCAACACTTTCACCCGCCCTCAACGGCCGAGGTGAGTGCTGCTGTCACAGGGCTGAACTGAGCCCTCACATGAAGTAACACAATGATTGATTCCATCCCAATATTATTTAAAGGAATAGTTGAATAAAAAAAATGACAATTCTGTTATTTTACTCTCCTTGTCTGTGGAACATAAGAGAAGATATTTCAAGAAATGTCTTTTTTTCCCCTCTTATAAAATGGAAGACAGTGGTACCAAAACTTTTTGGTTACCAACATTCTTCAAAATATCTTCTTTTATGTTCCACAGATGAAAGAAAGTCAAACAGGTTTGGAATGGCATGAGGATAAGTAAATGATGACAGCCTTTTTGCGTGAACTATCCCTTTAAATCTCAACTGCATTATTTTTGACTTGGAAATTATACTATAATATTTAAGTGGCATCAACAATAGGGAAAGTGATGGTAAATTAGGCCAAATTGCTGTAGTACTGATTGTGAATTGCACTAGAGTCCATGTGAATCATATTATAGACGCCCATTTTTAAGTGACTTTGGAGTCTTGGCTCCCAAATGAGTTCAGAAAACAGCTTTCACACCAATTGAACATCCTCAGGTCTGCACTAAAAAAGTTTTAGTTGGTGTATACTAGCTTTATTGTGCTTCAGCTATCTGTCTTTTCCAGTAGGGGGCGCCATGCAACTCTTTTTTCCAGGGTTACTATAATTACAACCTCTTTTTCTTCCTGACGTCCACTCAATGAACTAATCCCATTGTAAATTTCCAATTTCAGTCTATCATTTCTCAGCTTTCCAAGCACTAATACTTTCCCAAGTGTCATGGCATATTGCATGGCCAAAATAGTCTTCAAAGGGAACTTCGGGGGCTTCATTCTTCATGAATCATAAATGTAACCATTTTTTAATCTCTGAACCATCAAATTTTCTTCTCTTCCACTGACCCATCTCTCTCCTTGTCTGTGTATCTGTCTGTACATTAACCCTCACACACTCCAGCCCCACCAGCAGCGAAGCGTTTCCGCTTTCTCAGGAGCAAGAGCCAGGAGAAAATGCGCGTTCAGGGGACGCCGCCGCCCTCTCGACGATCCATCACCAGACGCCTACGCTTCTGGTCCTCATCTGACAACATCGTTCCCCGCTCCCCCGCCGAGCCCTTTCCGCATATCGGCCATTTCTAACACTTCATCCTTTCCATCATCATCACAATAGCCATAACAGCTGCTTACCTCATCATTACTCATCCCATATACCATTATTCATTATTTTATGTATTTTTTTTTTTTTAAACATCAAGCTACACTTACTAGCTAGCCAATGAACACTCTGAGCTAAACGCTAAAGAAAAAACACTCAGAAATAGATTCACCACCACAGGCTCACAGTGCTAAATCAAAATAGAAACACACATACATGCGCACAACACACACCTTGCAACTCATATAAATGCTCTGGGGGGCTCTGGGACTGGGCTGTGGGACTCTGAATGCAACCCTGCAGTAAGTAATGTGTATTAAACAGAGCGAAATGCAGCCAGCTTTGCGCTTGCCATGAGAAATGTGTGTGTGATATTGCTCACACTGAATAAGGTGGGCTGAGGTGACCACAGTTGCTGCCTGCAGTCAATAGTAATTCAATTAAGTGCATGCATACAGAGAGAAATTGAAGGAGGAAGGCAGACGGAGGCGACAACTTCATCAGATACCTCTAGTTGAAAGATAGATTTATGCTGTGGCTTGTGAACGTGCATTGCTTAAGGTTTGCTCTGCAATATTTTACTTACATCCAGCAACCAGTGTCCATGTGTGTTTTGCATCTTTAACAATTCTCTCTGTACGTCCACTGTGCGTTATGTGCATGCGACTGTCCAATTTATGTTTAGGGGGTTCATTTGCAAATGAGATAAACTCGGCTGAGATGCATTGATTTATACCTTAGCCTTTTTATGTAGGGCACATGAATCCATTCCTGGGGGTGGGGATGTGTCCCATAATCACCATTCTTAAGACAGCACGAGGTATCTTAATTGTCCAGCTGCTTTAATAAGAATAAAATATTTGGATTTGCATGAAGATATTGCATCATTTTTAAGTTAAGAAAGTTCTGAAGGTATTGTTACAAGTGTGATAAGATTTGTGCGTCACAACGCCTACACATTCTGTGAACTTATTTTTGATGTGAAACGGATGTTCACAACTTGAATTTTTGTACGTGGACTATTTTTGTATCTCCCCATCTAAGTTTTGTATTATATGTTTTAAAAAAGATGCAGAAAAGCCTAGCAGTTAGCACGTTGAGATGTGGGGCGCATACACACATTGCTTGTTTGCGTCTGGCATTTCCCATCTCATTTTTGTCATCAAAAGTGGAAAAAGGCTCAACAATTATGAAGGCTCTCTGACACATTGAGTTATGATGCTCACATATGTTAAGTTTATCTTGTGACTTTTCCCCTTCTCATTTCTGTCATTAAAAGAAAAAGAGAATTCAGTCAGACATGAATTCTTAGCACATGCACTCTGACACACTGAGATGTGGTACGGATACACTAGGACACATCAGTAGGTCATTCACAAAACTCTTCACACAGTGAAGACAGACCAATTTTTGCACATGCTTACAAATTTTTTTTTAAACCTAAGTTCAAAACCCGACAGAATGCAAAACTGAAAAAGACAGCAGTTTGCTATATTTCTACAGTACTAAAACAGTGATGTATATTGAATTATATTTGCTAGTTATGGAAGAATGAGATGATTTGAGAGAAGTGTTTTGGTAGTTTTAGTGCTTAGTGAATGTGTAAATAACTGCTGTGCCAAGCTGAAAGTTGGTGTGGAGAACTGTGTCAAGTTTAGAAAAAGTGACCCAAGTATTGAGAAATGTGTCCTAGCAATTGTAAGACCTCAAAAAATTATGCACATGCACTTTCATACATTGAGCAAAAAAAGAAGAACTGGTCTGCTATTGCTCAATGTAAATGTACTCTGGTACATCGAGTCATGATGTTAATACAGACAATGCATGTTTGAGTCTGGCTTGCAACATTTCCCTTCATATTCATGTCATTTAAAGTCGTTAAAAGCCCCAAAATTATGTAGAACTACTCTTGATGATTTTTCAGGCAGATATAGTAACTACCTTTTCCTTTTAAAAATCATGTGAGGGATCGTTTTCAGCATGACTCTAATAAAGAGAATCTCGTGGAGCACCAGAGTTCCAGCTGGTGTTTTAGTTTGTCCACAGCAGTCAAGCTTAAAGGAATGTTTCAGGTTCAAGACAAGTTAAACTCTGTCGATGGCATCTGTGGCATGATGTCAGTTCATTAAAAAATGAATATTATTTGTTACTCAATTTGTAAAAGCAAACAAAGTTCATGTTTACAGTAATGTCTGTGTCTGTGGGGCAAGAGATTGCGCCCGTATGTATGTTGATATGGGCACTTCTGGCTGTATGTCGAAAGTATTGCCAAAAGACTTAAACGGATAGATCACGCAAAAAAAAGAGAAAATTCTGTCATAATTTACTCACCCTAATGTTGTATGAGGTTTGAACACAAAAGAAGATATTTTGAAGAATGTTGGTAACCAAAACTGGTAGTAACTGGCTTCCATAATTGGGAAAAAAAATACTATTCAGTAGAGACCAGAAACTGTTTAGTACCCAGCACCCTTCAAAATACCTTTTGTTTTCAGTAGAACAAAATTCATACAGGTTTGGAAAAACATAAGGGTGAGTAAATGATGATAAAATTTTCATTTTTGGGTGAACTATTCCTAAGAAGATATGATAGAATCACTCGCCAACCTTGTCATTCAAGTTGTTGTACAATCTTTCAACTCTTGCATGACAATGTAAAGCCTATAAGTCCAGTGACTTTTGGATGTTAAATATAAGACGATTTTGACAACTTTGCATCTCACATTTTTGCATGCCCCATAAATGTCCAGTGTAGGAGTATAACGGAAACCATGAGTATGAGTCACAGATGCTGCTGATACAGCTTGACTTGTATTGAACCTGGAATGTTCCTTTGACTGTCTAAAACTGTCACCGGTGTCCTGCTTAAGTGTTTTTTGGAGTTGATTCATTTTACTAACACATGCTTGTGCTTTTGACCCAACACCTTCTCTTACGCAGCTGCCCACAGCATCACTGGAGCCCAGCAGCAGCGCTTGCACTGCACATGCTCTGTATGCACTCACAGACACGGACCTTTTCTCTTGATTTTTTTTTGAAGTGTTGAACGACAGTGGAGGGTCCAGAGGCAGAGAGGGCTATCGTTCAGTAGGGGGCGGTAGTGAGAGCATGAACGGGTACGAAGAACTGATCCGGTGGCGGGGCCGAGAGCCAGGAGCCACCTGTTCAACTCCACTGAGCCGCAACTCCCACAATGCACCAGGCTACACGTCGTCCTCCAGCATGCGGCCGGGACGCAGGCCAAAGGGTAACGCTTAATTATGTCGTTTAGTAGACTACATGTCAGCAGCCTTGAGCCTCAAATGACAGACCATGTTCGCTAGTAAATTTACTCATCCTTAGAGGCACTTTATGATTGATCGGTTTGTGTTGTATTGTATTGAAATTGCAGCAGACTTTGTTTTCACTAATAAAGGAATATTTTGGGTTATAAGGGATAGTTAACCCAAAAATGAATATTCAAATTTTCTCACCCTTTATGTTGTTCTAAACCTGTATGACTTTGTTTTTGTCTATACTATGAAAGTCAGTGGGGATCCAAAATAGCATTGGACTCATTTACGTTGATTGTATGGACAAAAAAACACTGAAACATTTTTCACAATAAAATTTTTGTCATGTTCAGCAGAATAAAGAATGTCATTTGGAATGACGTGAGGGAGAAAAAAGGTTGATAGAACATTCATTTATGGGTAAACTTCCCATTTTGACTCTGTTGCTGTAAGCTGAAAATAGTCCCATTTCAAAAGGAAGATTTCAATCAATTTTGAAATATACAACACATTTAGACTAATATACTTAGCATATATACATACAGCATACAGTTATATGCTACTGTTCAATAGTTTGCAGTTGGTAAGAATTTTGCCAATGTTTTTTTACACAAGTCTCTTAAATGTATTTATATTATATTGATCAGTTGATATTTGCTCAGCAAAAGCATATTGATTGGGAAATATTATTACAATTTAAAATAACTTTTTTCTAATTAATTATATTTTCAAATTCAATTTTATTCCTGTGATGGCAAAGCTGAGGCGGGGGACGTGTCCCCCCCACTTTTAATATCACGTAAATTCGTCCCCCGCACTTTTTCGGGCAAGTGTGTTCGCATAGAGGTTTTCAAGAGCCGGTGTGAATAAATATATATTTAAATTCAAAGAGACAGGATAAACAATTCTGTCCCCCTCACTTCTGAAATGATGGCTACGCCCCTGACTCCAGTCTTCAGTGTCACATGATCCTTCAAAATGTAGTATGAAATATAGTATTTTGTTAGTTTATTAATGCCTTCACTGTCACTTTTAATCATTTGAATACATCCCTGCTGAATAAAGCTTTTAAATTCTTAAAGACTTACTGGCCCCAAATTTGAACAGAAATGTACATTATACAACAAAAGCTTAAAAAATTCGAAGTTTATTATTTTGTTTTCAAACTCTGGATTCTTCAGTAAAAAAGTTTGTTATTTAAGAGCCGTAAAGCTGTCTTCAGTAAATCATGCTTTTGAAATGGGACTATCTTTCTAGCTAGATGTCTGCTTTGGGAGTTGCAGTTGTATTACTATAAAAATCATTCATTTTTCAATTTGAGGGATGAGTGGAAATAATTTTCCTTTGGTAATCAATAGCAGGCCATGGATAGAGCTTAAAGCGGCATCACGCTAGCCAAGTTTTTAAACCGATTTCTAGTCATAAGGTTAAATTATGGTGGGTGTTCACAGTTAATGGCCCTACCTACTCACTCAACCTTTCTACTTATAATGTGTAATGTACCACCATGTACACTAAGGGATTCAGCTTTAAACACCACTGACCCTCTCAGTGACTCTCACCTCCCAGCCAAAAAGCCCGAAGCTCATTTCATCAAGTCCCTGTCAGCATAATAACAAAGCGTTCGTTCTAAATGAATGTTTATTTTCAAGTGCTTCAAGCTTTCTCAGATATCCACTGCACTGCGTAAACAAGCAGTCATGTTCGAACAGACGCACACAGGAAGACCGCAGTAGCCAAAGGCCCATCGTGTCCCATAATGACACTGTCCTTAGGAGAGCATCTTTAAAAGGGAAACTGAATTGTGTGAAATAAAGATAATGATAATAATAATTAGTGGTACTAATTAATCAAATGTCTTTATGAAATGTTGAAAGAGGGATGAACTAAGACTGCTGTGTATATACTGATATATATTCAGTGCCTCATTGTTGGGCGACACTCTTATTTGCAGGATTGGTCTCCGAGGAAGACTTGCACCATCATTCCCCAGATGCTGGCTTTGGGAGCGGTGTCCATGGAAACACAGGTAAGAGAATTAACTAAATCAATACATGTTGCCTCGACAGCCTCGCTTTATTTCTTTATGCGCTTATATGTGATATGTGCCCCCCTCTATAGGCCACCGGCCCAGCTCTGCTGAATTCACCTCCAGCAGCAATTCCCCTGTCAGCTCCAAAGGTGTGTGTGTGTGTGTGTGTGTGTGGTCTATTACATATGCATGCATAGCCACTTCATTAGCCAGCTATGGAAACTGCCACCCCCACACACTCTCTCTCTCAAGTACTATTGAGACAGTAATTGTTTCTCAGAGTTAAACAAATGTCTTTACAAGAATATTTGCAGAAATTAATTTGCAGAGGCAGCTCTATTCTTGAGCAAGCATTATTTTATCATAAATAATTAAATTATTTAAATAGTCAAAATATTCATTATTTAAGCCAGTGAAATTGTTTTTTTTATGTTGGTCTATATTGTGGTATAATACTGCTGTTCAAAAGTTTGGGCTCAGTAAGATTTTTATTTATAAAGAAATTAATCATCAAGGATGCGTGTAATCATCAAAGAATCCTGAAAAACTGTATCATGGTTTCCACTAACATATTAAAAAGCACTGCTGTGTTCAGTTTTGATAATAAGAAATGTTTCTCGAGCAACAGATTGGCATATTAGAATGATTTCTGAAGGATCATGTGACACTGAAGACTGGAGTAATGATGCTGAAAATTCAGCTTTGTATCACAGGATTAAATTACATTCTAAACGTATATTAAAATGGAAAACAGTTATTTTAAATTGTACTAATATTTCACAAAATGCTACTGTTCTATTTGTATTTAGCAAATAAAGGCAGCCTTGGTGAGCATAACAGACTTCTTTCAAAAAGATAAAAAAAAATCTTACCAAAACCAAACTCCAGGGTATATTTCAGATTAACCAATCACTACAAATGGAACATAAAAAGTCATATAATTGGATAGCAACTTTACATGCTGTCTTTCTCTCTAAGTGGGTGTTTTTTGACCAGAAAAAGATATGGGCCAGTCCTTTTGCCATTTAGTCAACGGTCTGACTATGTGAGAATACCCTTATAATGACCTTTGAGACGGTTTTTCGCCAGATGGATGCTAGGCAACGGCATTCTGAATCCGCGCTGTCTTAGCTTCACGAGCAGCTCCCCTGACAACAATGTCCAGCAAAACATCAGAATAGTCGAAACCCGGTGAAATATCGGGTGGTGTGTACTGCCGAATGTCCAGCAATTCGTCTCTGGTGAAACTGATTGCAGGGATATAACTAAAGACAGGACAAACTAACAAAAACATAAAAACAACTGCGGAGCACGCCACGGAGGCAGTGGTTCAAATATGCAAAAGATGCTGGAAAACTGAAGAATCTGCAGGACATGGAGGATTTTTCTGAAGAACAGTGCTCAGTTTAACTGTTCAGAACAAACAAGGGACTCATGAACAACCATCACAAAACAAAAAAACTGTCGTAGATCATCCAGGTAACCACACACAGTATCAAGAACCAAAGGGTTCCCAAACTTTTGAATGGGGTTATTTTTATAATTTCAGCTATTTTTTTTTTTCTTGTGGACTAAATGTAAACATCTTTATGTCAAATACCTTACTCAGGACAGTACTAAATAAAAAATAACATGCATTTTGTATGATCTCTCTTATTTTGTTAAAATTATTCACATTTTCACAGATTCTGCAAGGGGTTCCCAAACTTTCGCATGCCACTGTATCTTTTAAAGTGCACATTTTTATGAAATCTTACACACTTAAATTTTACAGTTCATGTTTTAATTTCCTGTCTTCCTCCAGGTTCTCTGGACTGCCTGCAGGGCCGATCTGCCAGTCTGTCCAGTGATGATGTTGTCGGACTGGGACATGAAGGCTCACGTCTCAGTCAGTCATCTCTGATTCCTCGGAGCTCCACCCTTCCCTGTGATGCCCTGTCTGCTTCACGCTCTTCCCAGCGGCCCACCTCTCAGCGGCCATCCTCTCCTGGCAGCGAAATGGTCACCCTGGAGGAGTTCTTGCATGAGAGTAACGCCCTGTCCCCACCCACTGTAAGTTGTTTTTATACTAACAGCATTTTAGTACTTCTCAGCAGACTTGTTTGTTTGATGGTTTGACCTTTTGAAGAATTAATGACACATTACTAGAAGAATTTGCATACATTTGCAGGGGATTTTAAAATGTGTGGTGAATCTCACATCGTTCAATTATCCTGTATCTTTTTTAACATATCAAGATTATGTGTGCATATTTATGCAGTAAGAATAGCAAATGGGATTTTTTTAAATATTTAACTCATGATCAGTAGAGACATTTACACTCCTAATTAAATTACGCCTGATGTTTGACCCTGCACTATGGATTGTTGTTTGCTAATTGGGGATTATTAAGATAATGTCTTTGAGTGCTGTGTGAAATGTTCGTAATGGAGACATTGAGTGATGGACCTTCCCCATCATCTCTATCTTTTACCGAAATACAGTAGATTTCAATGCGTTTCTGTTGTAAGACATGGCGCAAATTATAAGAAATGCATGCAAAGGATTCCCATGGTTATGAACAAATCTCAAGTTTGACAAATCTGGGGGGAAATCATTTTAAAACAATGATTTCTAGCAATAAGGAATATTTGGGGGTCAGTGGAAAAAAAATAATTATTGCTTTGAGTTGCCGAAGTTTATAAAATATATAAATGTTTTTAAATAGTTTTTAACACCTTATTTTTTTTTATTTATGTACACATTATTATTTACTGTCATATTTAAGTCACAACATTAATTGCAGTTATTTTATTCAATTAACAATTCTTTATTCAGTTAGTCCTTAGTTTTAACAGTGAGAATAAAATGTTTTTTTGTTTAATATAGGCATATATCTAACAATTTGTATCCCCACTGTTGGAATAAAGTATTATTAGTAATATAAAGTATTATGAAGCAATATTTTCTAGTACATTTTCATGGTCACACTTTATTTTAAGGTGCAATTCTCGCTATTAACAAACCATTAGCTATGACTTTGCCTCAATAAACTCCTAATTTGCTGCTTATTAATAGTTAGTAAGGAAGTTGCTTAGTTTAGGTATTGAGTAGGATTAGAGATGTAGAATATGGTCATGCAGAATATGTGATTTATAAGTACTAATAATTAGCCACTATGTTAATAATAGGCATGCTAATAAGCAACTAGTTAATAGTGAGAATTAGTCCCTATACTAAAGTGTTACCATTTTCATAACATTTTAATTAAATGTTTGGCAATTTTTCCAATACTGGAATTGGGGCACAGTTAAAACCACATGCTTTTTGCAAAAATATTTATGATGATTTAAATGTCTTTCAGGTGCAGACAGGAAGTCGAGAGGATCTGATGACTGATTATTTCACCAGATCTACTCGACCTGTCCCTCTGCGAGATGGCGCTAAAACCCCCACCAATTATGTCACGCCAACCATCAAGACTACTCCACCAGAACTAGATGGTCGGGCCCCAAAACCTGGACACAGTGTCAAACCGAGCGTTCGGCTCACGGAGACCTCCACACCTCCTTCTCATTCGCAAACCCTTCCTAACAGAGGAGCGGGACTGAGGTCTGCACCTTTGCAGCAGTCCAGTCCTCGCGGAGGTGTGGGCAGCAGCACCAGCCTGAGTCGTACATTTAGCCTGGCCTCCGCAGACCTCCTCTGCTCCAACGGGCCGGACGCTTACCGTAACGAGGCAAAATCTCCCAGCCAAAACGAAGTGGTGGTGAGGAGGTCTGGAGTAGTCAACAGAGAAAGACCGATGTCCGCTAGGCTGGCTGGTTCTTCGCCGCTGCCTGGAAACCCAGGGCACATATCCGTGGACCCCCGCCGTCTATCTCTCGCTCCACCGAGAGATGAGTTGTCCCTAGCTAGTCCGCCTCCAGTGCACTCTTCGTCTATGTCACTGCAGGCTGAACGGGAATACGTTGGGAGCGGTAGCAGCAGGGCAGGAGCGGTCCGTTCTGGACCTGCTCAAACCCGAGCAGCCCCCCATCGTGGTGAGGTGGCCATGGTGTCTCCGGTGCGAGCCGTATCGGCGCTGAAGGATTTGGAGGAGGAACCTCGGGAGCAAAGGCAGGCAGAGTCGCCTGTGTTGAAGAAAGCAGACACTGCGGACTTAAGCTACGCCACCAAGGAGCAGCCCACCAGCAAGCCTGCTTCTCCAGACCCCAACAATGACCCTCAGACTGTTTGGTATGAGTACGGCTGTGTGTAGAACCTCAGACTTGGTTAAGAAACACGTATGAAACTGCACTGTTAACAAATAAAAGCCCCAGGCAGCTCTGGGAGACTGGTCATGTCCTTCCTCTCTTAAGTTTCTCTAGGTGCTTCAAAGGCACCAGTTGCATTTGAAGGTCTTGCACATGTTCACACTGACCTGAAAACTAATGTATGGGGCACTTGAATGTATTTTCCCCCTTCGTATCCAATTGAATGCCATTGATTTCCACAGCTCTCCGCAGCTCCATGGCAGGCCAGTTCACGTTCTATTCTGAATGTGGAAAACAAACGTTGGGCTGTGTGCTAGGAGCCACTCCCAGCGTAATTACTGAGTAGCGACTGCATCCATCTTTAGGAGGCGCAGGACAGTTGCAGGTCCATCACCGAGACAGCCTCATAGGGACCCATTACGGGAAGCGGCCTCTCTCTCATTCGCTCCCTGCTGACATACCAAACAATCTGCTCTTTTCTGCTTCTTGTGGGTGACCATGTATTCGCTGTAGGACCTGGGTTTGGCTCAGACTGCGTTCAGAAGCACGCAACACTGAGCCAGAAAGAGACGGACAGAAGATCATTGGACATGAGAATAAGAAAGCACCTACCTTGTGATATAAGGTGGAAGAATGTATCGGGAATCGGTTTTGAGGGGGAATCTGGAGTGCTGGACATGTTGGCAAGTTTCACACAAGCATTTAAAGTAGTACTAATAAGAAATTGAAGTTTAGTTTGGTGTTTTTTTTTTGTTTGTTTAGTTTTGTTTTTCCAACACATTCATTTTATAACACTGCACAACTGTTCTTTTATTGGTTTATTTATTAATGTCCTTGAGACAATTAATGACACTTGTTTGTGTTGTTGTTCTGAAGTGTGTGTATGCAAGTGTATGCCTCATTTTTCCAAAACTGCTTTTTTGTTTTGCATGATTGATTGGTTAAGTCTGATAATGTTGAACACTGGAAGAACGTAGTCTGATTATAATTTTATTTTTCGTAAGAGAAGTATGTAGGTAAAAAAGCCCATGGAATCCTGAAATCCCTCACTCATGTCACCAACCTAGCACCCCTTGTTCCTTGTCAGTGGTGCTTTTCTGCCATCTCGTGTCACCATCTCCAACTTCTGATGGTCTGCAGGGGCTTTCACAAGTCAAAGGCAAGAGCTGATCACCAAAGGCAATGGTGTATCTTCATAGAAATATATTTGGATCAAACATTCACACTGGGTGTGTGAATATAAGGAGAGTCTCCTGTTTGAATGTGCACAACTACTGGTTAAATGATTTTAGATAAACAGTTGTTTTTATACACTACTGCACATGAACATAGATCAGTGCCTGTAAGATATTGTGTTTGATGCAAGGAGTAGATACCCTAACAACCTTTTACACTTAATGTTAAGTTTATTGTGAATGATAGAAGCCTGTTTAGAGAAAGCTGTTTTCCAAAACCTGAACTCTTTGTAATAAAGCTTTTTTAAAATAATCTCTGGAGTTGGTTTTAGTAAATTACATGAGTAAATTCATTTTTATGACATGCATAAAGTTTAAAACTGATTTTCTAGCTCTCAGAATAAATTTACATAAAAATTAAACATACAAAATCATTAAAAAAAAATTAATAATTATGCCAGAATGGTTAAAGGGGTTGCAGCATATCTTGAGATGCCACTTGATCTCTCCAGCTAATTTGGCACCAAATGTTGAGTTATAGTTACTGATAAACTTATATTTCCCATAGATTTCAAGACAAAATACTTGTTTTGTCTTCTTTCAATAAATTCAACAACTTCTCTTATTTCAGTAACAAGAGCTAAAGTTTGAACTTGACGAATGAAGCTAAAAACCGAGAAAAGAGATGAGATTTAGCCTAGTTGTCCTGCCATATAACGTGTAAGTTATGACTTGGTTGTCACAATTTTAAGCAATGTTAAAAAAAATAGTAACTGAGGAAATCATGCAGTAACAGGGTTGGATCAAATATGGGATTCCCCCCCATATTTTTTCATGCTAGCTTAAATTTATGTTAAATAACAGTTTACCAAACATCTAGTCTCACAAAAATAGGACACCAAAGTGTGAGTATTCGAGGAGTGCAACAGTTTGAAACGCGTCCTTTCCTTTGCGCTCGGTCCAAACGCTGTGAACAATTTCACTGAGGAAACCTTAAATGTTTACTTATGCATACATCACATACATAATTACCCTTATTCCCAACAGGTAGATAAACAATGAGTCTATTATGCGACGGAGCTGCCTACCTAGACAGCACTTCGGACATTAGGCTACAGTTGCGTTCTTCATGTCGGTTCATCTGACTCTGAACGCAGCTGTAATGGCCAGGCATGCTGTCTGTGCAGGCAGGTCACTATAGGATATGAGACACATCCTGTGTCTGTGGAAGGCACTTGAGATGAGTGTTTAGCTCTGAGTAATTGCGCGCATCATCACGTAAAAACTGTTGACGCAATTAAAATTGTCCTCCTTTCCGACGCGACAACCCCGGAACAAAAAAAAAAAAAAAATCACTCCCACGAGTAAACGAATAGAAACAGGCAAAACTCAATGACAGAGTCGGTGGAGCGGTTGAGCTTGAGAATGTTTATCACGCTTCAGAAATGCCTCGAATGAGTCGCGTGGGATTAAAACCAGCAATCTTAAGGTAATGTACTTTCATTAAGTCTGATATACTCTCCTATTCCTTAAAAACATATAGTACAGTAGTTGTTGCTACAGTAAACTGAGTAGCTACTTAGTAGGCTATTATGCTCTACTGTCAATAAAAAATAAAATGAAAAAGCAGGAGACAGGAATGCAATTAACATTTCGAATAGGCTACGTTTAAAATCAGTTATAACGAAAATTATGATCATTGTGGTATTTTGCCAAAATATGGTTACCATGCTATTCGTGTAGTAAACTATAGGCAATTAAATGATGCTGATTAATATTTTACAGCTTTCCAAAAGCTATTTGTGAAGCACTTCACAATAATTATAGCGTATTAGCCAGACCATTTCTGAAGTACGTACTACAAGTGAGAATCTACAAATTGCACTTCTGTCCAACATCTGTGAAATTAGTCAGACACATTTATTAAGCTGTGCTACCAATGACTTACAGTTTTATAATGTGATCATAGGCTACCTACTCCAAATGGTGTAATGAATTGCGCACAATAGAGCAATACTACATTAATAATAAAAACGAATATTACCGACTAATACTAGTTTTTTTCTGTATTACAACATGTTTTACATGTCAAACTTTTGTCAAAATGCAACCGGTGGGATTACAGTAGGCTACATGGCTTTAATAGGTTTCATGTCGAAATTAAGCGTGCCAGCTAGAGAGAGGCACGTTCAAGCACAAGTTCGACCACATTTGCGGTCAGAGAAGCGTTATTAGGTTTATGTTATGGCAATCAGTCCCTAATAATCGACCTGAATTAGGCTAAACATGCTCAGCTGTTTTTTTTTCCTCTTTGTTTTGTTTCATAATTTCATTTATGCAAGTATTGGGTGGCAGAAAATAAACAATCTAATCTAGAACTTTTCTATTTCTGCGGTGTAACAATAAAAGTGTGTGTGTGTGTGTGTGTAGATAGATATAGATTTGACTTTGAATTCTGATTGGATAAGATGGTTTGAAGCAGAGATTCACATCTCATCACATTATTCTGACCAAACCATTTTTGGTTCTGAACAGGAAGTGAACTGCTTGTGTTATCATATACAGTATAGGACTTCATCAACGTTTCATAGAGGAAAACAGCTCCATAGTTTGCTTGGGAAATGTCAAATCTCTATAGGTAAGTCTCTCTGTAAGGTAGCTGAAGCTCCATATAGAATATAAAAGACAAAATCAGAAGTGACTTCCGAGAACAGAAAACAATTCCACTGAAAACAGTTTTCCAATATTGAGACTCTGGTCTGGTTAATACTGCTGTACTTACACAGATGCTGTTTAGCATGTCTGAGCAGTATTATTGAAGGTGTCGTGTATTGCTCAGATGCAGGGACAAATTCTTAAGCATTTAATGGATTGGTGATGAAACATGTTGTTCACGCTGCTTTATTGGTCTCTTTTGTTATGTTCCACAGTAGTCACTGCAGTCAAGGTCTCAATCCCACTATATCTAACACCTTTCATCAGCCAGACATTCTGCGAACCAGGCCATGGTCAGATTGAAAAGGGCAACGTAGGTTACTCAAATCCATGACATGAATTAGGATTTATATATATAAGATGTTTAAGATGCTTTAATTGCATTGCACAGGCTCTTCTCAACAACAAAAACGCCTACAGTACGCAGACGTCAAAGCCAAGTGGAAAAGACGTATTGTGTAGCTGGATTCGTCATATGGCATATTGTGAAAGCAGTAGATGAGTTTCACACTTCCTTCAACACTTTAATACCGCTTCCTGTATATTTAGAATAGTTTAGAGGATGAAGGACACAGCCCACACACAAAACGTTTGTCACTCAGCTGCCATCTTGATAACATCCCCAGAAAACTATTTTCACGCATGCAGAAGTACAACTTCTGTCTGCTTGAACTGAGAAAAACCCAAATCCGTTTGACAAGTATTTACTGAAAGCCATCAAATGTTTATGATTTTTAAGATAACCTTCACAGATGAACTCAACTTTCCCATGACGTCCAATACGTACATCAGAATTTGTAGCTTATCAAGGTATTTTCTGGGTTGTATGAATACTGTAGTGGTATTTGGACACACTAATTATGCTATTTTGTTTGCTTCCCATAGAATCCATGGAATGTTATCTGGAGACCTCTGTTGATTACGAACTTACCTACACTTGTTGAATAAGACTCTGCGAACATGAGGTTAGAAAGATGAACATGTCTGAGGAGCAAATAAACTGCACTATAAGCCACGAGATTCACCAGTACCTGTTTTCGGGTGCGTACATCCTTGTCCTGCTAGTGGGTCTTCCCGCCAACGCTTACTCGCTCTACCATGCCTGGCTCCAACTGAAAGCTCACAATGAGCTGGGGGTCTACTTGCTAAACTTGACCATATCTGATCTGCTGTACCTGGCCTCCCTGCCCCTTTGGCTCCAGTATATCTTCCAAGGGGACAACTGGAGCGGCTCGGAGTGGCTCTGTCAACTGTGTGGTTTCCTGCTCTACGAGAACATCTACGTCAGCATTGGTTTTCTGTGTTGTATCTCCATTGACCGTTACCTGGCGGTGGTCTACCCTTTCCGCTTCTCGGCTTTCCGAACGGTACGAGCAGCAGCGCTGGTCAGTACGGTGGTCTGGCTCAAAGAGCTTGCCGTAGGAGTGGTGTTCTTCAGGCACAAGGAGCTCAGCAGGGACAAGCACAACCAATCTGTGTGCTTTGAGCACTATCCCATGAAGACATGGGAGTACCCAATAAACTACTACCGCTTTTACATAGGTTTCCTGTTCCCTTTAGGAATCCTCTCCGTGTCGTACTTTAGAGTTCTCCGAGCAGTGGGCAAGAGTGCAGGCACGCAGACAGCCCAGAAAACTCGCATTAAGTACCTTGTAACAAGCACCATCGTCATCTTCCTGGTTTGTTTCTCACCATACCACGTCTTCCTGCTGGTACGCACCATATTGGAGCGGGACTGCGACTTCATTGAGAACATTTTCAACTACTACCATTTCTCTCTGTTGCTTACTAGTTTTAACTGCGTGGCCGATCCTGCGCTCTACTGTTTTATCAGTGAGAGTGCCCAAAAGGGCATCCAGAAGGCTCAGGACGCTTGCACTCGGGTCTTATGCTGTTGCTCAAAAAGCCATGGAAGGTTCAACACGCACTCTACTGAGCTTGCAGTCACCAATGGTAATGTTACAGGTACCTCAGTGGTAACACTCTTGCAGCAGGTCAAAACTGACGTTTAAACATTTTTGTTGTATTAGTTATCTATACAATGGACATCATACCGTTTAGCCACAGGCTCCTCAGATGTACTGCTGCTGCATACTGTTTTTCATTTTGCATGGGTTAGAAGTTAGAACATTAACCTACTTCGTCAGAGTCAGTCCTGTATTTTGTTCTAAAATTAAACTGCAATATTTCATGGTTTGCCGTTTAGCCACAGGCTCCTCAGATGTACTGCTGCTGCATACTGTTTTTCATTTTGCATGGGTTAGAAGTTAGAACATTAACCTACTTTGTCAGAGTCAGTCCTGTATTTTGTTCTAAAATTAAACTGCAATATTTCATGGTTTTGGTAAGCTAACATGCTACTGTTATGTGGTGTCATTCTCAGGGATTGCTACCTTTATAATCACCAGTGGTTGACATTTGAGGTTTTAGTAACCGATGAGCTAAAGAAGTCCCTTTAGCTACAGTACATGTGCATGTAACAGTTAAAACTGTGTCCAAAACTAAAACCAATTCTGCTTTCAAACCTCATTGGTTATAGTTCCTTTAATACTGTACTTCACCCAAAAATCACAATTCCGTCATCATTTACTCACCCTA